GCATATAAATACATACAAATAATTTTTAATTGGGGCCGGAGACTAAATAAAACAATAATTTAGAAAAAAATGTTTAATAAAATCTTAGATAATACATATGTATAACAAATTAGGCCTATATTATTTTACAATTTTTCACATTTACTTGATTATTACGCCATAATTTTAACATTGTTTCCATCTCAGCGATAATACTGTGACGTTTACAAATGGTGCTTGAATTTAAAGATTGAGCATTTTTCACAGCTTCGAGAATTTTTTCTTTTCCTTTTATAATTGTTCTGACTGACAATTCCGGTAGATCAAACTTCTTTACCAATTCACAAATTTTCATTTTTGTATCGAAGTCTTTAATAATGGGTACGTTCGTAGTCAAACGAGTTAAACGCGTTAGTAACGAATCATTCGAAAAGTCTAACGAAATAAGAATAACGATGACTTCATTCTCGCTTAACTCGTTCGACTTTACGAACATACCCAATGTTAACTTTACATTCCAAAGATAAAGTTTTTTTTTTCTTGTTTGATGCAGAAGAATTAGTTCTACTTCGTTTGGATGACATAGTAAAGTCTCTCGAGTCTCCGTAGATATAACAAACACAGAAATAAATAACAGAAAATAAATTGTAGCTATGTGTGGATTCCGTGTGACACATCTGAACATGTAAGCTGAACAATAGTGTGGGGGGAGTGAGTAATCAAGGGTTGTGTGGCGCTCAAACAAAAGATGAATCGACGAGATTTGAAAATCGCGTAACTCCGGGGTAGCATAAGTTGGGGCATTACTGTAATAAAATATATATATATTTTTTAAACTTGCAAATTTAATTTAATATAAATTAGATAAAAAAAAAAAGCAATTTCATGTGATGATATGAAATATTTTTTTACATAATTAATTATTATTTGCATAAGATTTATAAACAACAATACAATCATTTTAGACATATGAAAATTATATTATTTATATCTCTAACATTTCAGATTATTTTCTATTGTAGAAAAATATTCAACAATAGTAAAATTTTATTAGTAGTCTTGTGATCTATTCATTTGATGATCAATAAATTTGTATTTATTAAAATTTAATAACTTTTAAAGATGTAAAAATATATTGTCAGAGATTATTGTAAAAAATTCTTACAACATTGTAATTATTTACAAATGTTTAAAAAGAATTCGTTAATTTAATATATTAAATTAATACTGTATATATTATACATGTATAATGTATATATCTAATTACAACAAATATAATATACAATATAAATAAATATAAACAGTAAATATTGTACATAAAAAAATAATTTTTTAAATATTATATTATTTATTTATTTTATTTTAGCTCGTTATATGACAGATGAAAAATCTAAATATTTTTGATCGATGATGCTTTTTTGCAGTAATTATGTACAAAATAAAATATTTTCATATAAATTCATACTTTTTAAAATAAAAAAAGAGAAATATTTTTGTTATTTTAGTTCAGTTATCATAGATAAGCTATATATAGTTTATTATATAATAGTGACAAACATTTACCACAAGTAAAGAAATATTAATATTTTAAATATTTTAATAATTAATATTCTGTGTGAATTATAATAATCTGCACTTATTTTTGATTTTGAAACTAATATTGTATTGATAATTATATTACAATAATTTTTGTAAGTCTTCATGAAGGAAACCTTAAATCTGAGTATTTGATATAATTAAATTTTTTAAAAATAGTAAATTTTATATATAATAGTAACAGTTTTAGTTGTATATTTAAACATATTCTTTGAAATTGGAATTTTTCAAAAATACAGTTCTAAAGGAAGAAAGAAATAAAGTAGAAATAGAAAAATAAAATTTTTGAACAAATCAATAGAAAATCATTTTTTGCAGAAAATAGAAAATGTTAGAAAAGCAAGAATATAATTAGCTCTATTTTATAAGAATGTTTGTAATTATAAAATATAATTAATATTGATATAATATAATTGACTTTATCTAATGTATTCAAAATAAATACATTTATGGAGATTTATCATGCCAAAAATTTATATAAAATAATTTTCTAATTTTATCTAAAATTATTCTCCTTCTTATTTCAGGTAAAAACTTGTATAACAATGAACATGTTGCTATTAAATTGGTAAGTAAAATATATGTTATCTACATATTAATCTTTTTGAAATTGTATTTTTAGTTAGTATTTAAAATATGCATAATAGTTAGTCTTCCAGTGTCAGGAAAATTTTAAAGCTTCTAGATTAATGGTGGAAAAAAGTTCTTCATTTTTAAAAAATATGTTGAATAACACAAAAATACAATATGTATATATACAGGAGAATCTGCTTAAACTATGGTTTACCTATATTGAGAACAATAATGGACTAATAACATTAAGTGGAGTAAACAAATGAGATGATTATTAACATAAATTATGGTTTATTTACTCTAATGTTAAATGGACTTTTAAAAATATCTAACTCAAAGATTTATTAATTAATATGTTATTTGTTTTGCTATCTTTAACAACAACTAGCACATAATTGAAATAAGAAATACTAATAATTTAAACTATTATATTGAGAGCAAAAAAATTTAAAATGATTACTATTTAACATTTAATAACTGATAATGATTCTCTTTTTTCAGTCACATATTGAGGCCGTTAGCATGGAAACAGGGCTTAAAAGCATATATTTTTAAAACACTGTTATCTTAAAAAGCATAAGGCTTAAGTATACTTTAACTTTGTGATTACAATAAGCAGAATCTACTGTTTATATTATACATAAATCTTCGTTTTTATATATTTGAAAAAATTCAACTGAAGAATTTTTAAATTGTTAGAATATATCATATTTTATTTGAATAATAACAATTTTATTTTATATATAACATAGATAAAAAGAGTTGCAGAAAAGAACATAAGGTACCAAACATTATTTTCTCCTATACATTACATGTCATTATATATACTGTATTTTGAATAATTAAAAATGTCATTAGTCAGAATGATATTTAAGTAAATTTTATTGATATATTTAATATCTTAAAATATTACAATGATTGGCAGTTATTTAATTTAAAAAGTTTCCATTACAAATGATTACATTATATTCATTATTATAAATAATTTAAAAGAATTTTAAAATTGGTAGAAATTTGAAATTGAAATTTTCAAAATAGAATTCTTCACATAAAATACTTGATTTTCAAAAATTTATTTTATTTTCACAATTGACTGACAGATCAATAAAACATAAGTTTCTTAACAAATGTATTCATTTATACATTACAGATATAAGACAATAATATGTAGCAAGAAATAAAACTGTTCAATTTAACTGACTTAAAAGTCAGTTAACTAAGATATTATTATAAGATTACTTTAAGAATGGTTAAGACTTGTTTGAAGCAGCTGCATACTATTATTTGTGATTCACTCACTTCACTTGAAGTAAATGAATCATGAATAATAACATGCAGCTGTTCCAAACCAGTTTTAACCATTCTTAAAATAATCTTAAAATAAATCTCAATTAAAAAACTTTTGGACCACCTACATATAATATGATTACAATGGTATTCTTTTCTGAAAATATTACTCATTCATACATATATAAACATATTTTTTTATGTGTATGATTTTCAGTAAATCATTTTTAAACATAAGAAATTGGAAATTATGGTGATTGCTAGAGATTGATTAAATTATTTTTAGAATATTAAAACTAACATAGTTGTTTGATCATATATACCAGGGCTTCTTAAACTATGGGTCGTGACCCCATTTGGGGTCACTTAGCGAAATCTTGGGGTTGCGAGATTTTAATGCAAAATTTTTAAAATAATTTGTGAGAGTTTGAAAATGAGTTTGAAAGTGAGGCATGCTTTTTGTCATAAGTTTCGTGAGTTGCGCTTTGTGTCACTTCTGGTGCCGCGAGACAATGATTCAGCAACACTGATTGTAGTGTGAACTAGTGTAGTGTTGTCACTTTTCAGCATATTCAGTTGTCTCTGTTCCACTGTAACACAAGAGTGAACTGTGGTAGCACACCATTATTGTTTTTGCAAATTTGTATATATCTTTATTTTATATTTTTGGGTCCCGAAAAAAATCACAATCATAAATGGGGTCGTGAATAAAAAAGTTTAAGAAGCCCTGATATATACAATGAAACAATTGTTAATTTCAGAGATTAAAAATGGTACATTCAGAAACTATTGCAATTGTAAAAGTATATAGTTATCATCAGCCTTTAAAAGAAATTAAGATACAGTAGAGCGTTGATTATCTGAATGTCGATGAACCGAAAGCATTTCAGTTGTACTGTCCTGCTGAATCGAACATTTTTGATACTAGATTAACTTTTAAAGTATAATTTTTTTTGTTTTTATAGTTTTCAATATATTTATTTTGTTTGTACAAAATAAAGAAATAATTTTTAACGATACAATAGCCACAATTATTATTATAAAAATTTTCGTTACGTTTAACATTGACGAAAATTCAATGCGAAGCGACACACAATGGAGAAAAATTTTAACGTGGAATATATTAATATACTATTGTTGGGATATACTAATAATCTATATTAATAATGTATTTTTTCGTACATAATCGATTATCCAAAAAATTGATCTTCTGAACAACCCCAGTCACCAATTGATTCAGATAATCAATGCTCTACTGTATTTTTACTCTTGTAATTGGATTATATTGTGTTAAATTTACATGAAGGTAAACTAAACAAATCAAATTTAATTATATTTATTAATTATAATTTATAAAGAAATTTTATGAACTTTAAAGTAGTGTTGATTTATAAAAAGAAATTTAACTCAATTTTATGTTTTCTGATATTAACACTAAATAAGAAAATAATTCACTAACTTAAATCTTAATCTAGCCACTGAAATTAGTATTACATGTATAGTCATTTCTAATATTGGAATAGGATTTTAAGAATGTTAAACAGTAAATATATCAAATATTTACAGTGAAACCTCTCCTAACAAAACTTTCTAAATTGGACACCCTTTTCATACATTGATCTGGATTGGTTACTTAATGGACTGTTTGGTAACCACTCCAGAATAGGGTTGGTAGCTTAAATGGAGGTCCATCCTACTTATGACATATTTAACCAATAAATGCAATTCTCTCTCTCATTGATTGGCTATTTAGAAAAATTCTGTAACACTAGAAAGCAACATATATGAAGTTGATGATTGTCCATATCTACATCCTTGTTCATTCTTTATGTATGGTGGAGACATAACACATGTTTTTTCCATGTTAAAAAGAGAATATTCAAGGATTGCCATGTTTTCATATAAATCACTGACATTAAAAGAGAAAATGGAAGTTATTGAATATCACAAATATCAGAACTGTAGAATGAGAAAACTAGCAGAAGTGTTCAAATTGGTAAAACAACATGCTACAGAAATAATTAAGAAACAAGAAAAGCTATGAGGAGTGTTTTTTAAGTACCATTTTGATATTTAAAATACACAAGTGCAATTTTTTTAACAATTACAGTCTTTCATGTAAGAATAAATTTTAATCTACTTTTCAACATAATTTCCTCCAATATTAAGGCACTTATCATATCATACAACCAGCTTCTGAATTTCATCCTCATAGAAACCTACCACCTGATTTGTCAACCACTGCAGCATGGCCATTTTGCCATCATCATCGTCATAGCACTGACCGCCTAGATGCTTTTTCAAGTGGAGAAACAAGTGGTAGTCACTAAGCGCTAGATCAGTGCTATACTGAGGGTGATCAAGTTGTTCCCAGCCATATGATGTGACAAGGTCTCAGATTTGTTGAGCCATGTGTTGACAGGCAGTGTTATGAAGCAAAACAATCCCCTTACTGAGGCTGCCATGCCTTTTGTTTGGATGACGAAATCATAAAGAGTCTGTTTTCTCGAACTTTGCATCAACTTTCTGCACCAAATTTTCATTAATGACAGACAGTCACCCACTATGCTTCTTGTCATGGACATTAGTACAGCCATCTTTAAATGCTCTAACCCAGTGGTTCCCAATTAGTTTTTCCTGCATACCACTTCAAGAAAGAGCTCAAACTCGCGTACCAAACTTGCAAATTTGAAGGTAATGCTGTCTGGCTGTCATCTGTTACCTTTTCATCTAAACCGCTGAACAGGTTTTAATAAAATTTTGCACAGAGATAGCTTATATGTTGGAGATAGACATAGGCTACATTTTACTGCGAGAAAATATGTTACTCCCACGAGAAAATTCAATATAATGCGGGCAAAACTGTGGGTAGACAGCTAGTGATAAATAGAATAAGTTTTTTTTACATTTATTACCTTTAAAATACAAAAATATTAATACAAAAATTCTAATAATAATGAAAATAACATAAGGTTATTTAATTTTAATGTGACAAATGTGCACGATTTCCTTTGCACAACTTTGTAAAATCTGGTTGCTTTTTGGTCAGCATCACTCTCGAGTCATATTCGAGTTGAAGTCGGTGATGATGATTAGTTTTCATGTTTGTCATGGCCAAATATTCGCTCTCACAGAGGATTGTTGTGCAGAATGGTAGTAAATACAGTCGACCCCCCTATAACACGGTAGATACGTTCCGTTCTTTATGAATCCATTTTGTACGAGTCCTTGCCAATCACAGCCCAACACATGTGAAGTTTACAGACTACGGCTGTTTGAAAGGTTTTCTTCCATAAAATTAATCGATTCCTAGACTAATTCGACTCAACATTTCCAAAATACGTATATTTTTTGGGAATAATCTGTATAAACTATGCTATAAACAAAAAATTGTAGGATTACTTACCGAGTGTGCACCATTCGACGTCGCCATTGCTTAAGCTTGTTTTCGTCGCGGAGCAGCACACCAAACAGCGGCCGCAATTTCTGATAAGTTATTTTTCTGTGAAAAATTCGTTGAACTTTGGAGACATCATTAATATAAATAATTTTTATGGCCATTGAATAAGAAATGTTTCTTTCACAAGAAATGTATAAAATTAGTGCTGTATTAGACTTATGGTACCTAATTTACATACTGTAC